GAGTGGGAACTTCATCTTGAGATGATAATGGAAGTGACTGCCCTGAAAGTTCTCAGCAGAGGTCGCCTAAGATTCATTGAAGGCCGATGGGCAGTACGACCAAGAATTCGGTAACCCTAGTACCTCGTTAGTAGCGCCGAGCGTGACTGGGAGCTGGATTGTTCTGCTGGGGATCAGGTGATCCCTGTAAAACGTACAGAGGCTCAAGGCTGGTTTCAGGTCGGCCTCGACCAGGTTTTCTATCGAAAGCGGACTTGAACAGATGTTCACAGCGCTTCCGTTGTCCACAAGCATTCTGCCGACATTGTGACACCCTATCAGGGGGGTGATCACTAAAGCATCCTCCTGAGAATGGTGCAAGCGAGCTGCCTCTTTCTCGCAGAAGGTGAGTGATGGTTCCTCTTTTTGGCCTTTTGAGGTCGCTGCGAAGTGGTTCATCACCCTGATGGGTCATGGTGTGCTTCACGAACATATCTTTCCTGCGCTCCTCGCGTGTTTCCCGCGAGGTGCGGACCTCCGAAAATTATGTTAAACACTACGTACCCGCTACGATCACGGCGCTTTTTCTTTCACTCCCCTTGGTTTTCTTTTGGGGAGTCATCAATGTACTCCTTGAGTGCCCCTCTGATAAGCTCTTCGATAGCGCTTAGAGCCTGGCATTCATCAGTAAGGTGCCCTTATCCCGATGATAACGGCAGTATTTTTTGCTGTTTCTGGCCGTAGCGGGGGTTTTCATGGGTTCGGGCTTACCAAGCAGGCTGGGGTCCTCGGACTTATCATGATTGGATATGGACACATTCAGCGGAGTATATTGAGCCCCGTCGCGGTCGCGACGAGGAACAGGAGCATAGGACTTTTTCTGCTCGTAAAGGGGTTCTTCCCTTTTCACCGATTGTCATTGTCTCTTTGCGATCAGCTCGTGTTATCTCCCGACCAGGGTACTGTGGAAGTGCGTGATCGCGACGGCGGAGTGCCGCCAGCGAATTCTCTATTTGGAGATACTTTTCTGCCAGGTTATGGAACCTGGGGAGGGAAATATCGTCCTCAGTGTAGTTCTTTCACAGGTCGGTTTGCGGGCGAACTCCAGCTATTATAAGAGTTCGGATGGACTCTTCTGGAGCGTGAGCCACTTTGTTGAGTTCCCTGTGGAAGCGGTCAATGTAAGACTGCAGGGATTCATCTTTTCTTGCCTTATGGTGCGAGGTAGCTCAAAGGCATTGAAAATTTCCGGTTGGCTTGGAAATGCCGCAGGAACGTCGTGCTCATCTAAGGCCACGAACTGATCGATCGCTGGGAGCGACCTTACCACCGTTTGGCGTGAGAAGTCAGCGTCACGGCAAACAATGGTTTCGCAAGGTCCGAAACCTGGTGGAGCTCCATAGGTCGTTGAACTCATTAAATGATCCTGCAGATCATAGTTCCACAACGACCGCATATCTGGCATTTGAACCTGGTGGAAGTGGAGCAGCTAGACTTCAGGAGAAAATGGGGATGTAGAGGCGACTGCGCTGTTCGTTTTGCTGCTCCCTTAACCTGTCCAGAGCTCGCTGCAGTCCTCCCAATTTGTGGTAATGGAGCCAATTGGGGGTTGCTTTCACCGTGCGGCCCTTCCTTCTGGTTGCGATTCAGGAAAGTCCGGAGGTCAGATTCCTCCTCGCCTCGGCCGGCATTTCCGGCCGCACTTGACACACGCTGACTAGGGCGTGTGAAGGCGATGGGTTGTGCGGGGCACTTTCACGACCCTCGCCGTGGTACGAACTGCCCGCGAGGTGTGTGGGGCCACCCGCATAACCATCGCTTTTTCACCGAGTCTCAGCCTCGCAGTGGTACGAACTGCCCCGCGAGGTGTGGAGCCACCCGATAACCCATCGCTTTTTCACCGAGTCTCAGCTTTGGCGACACCCTGCTCGGGGTGCCTTTCGTATTCGCTGGCCCTTGGGAGCCCGTAGGCTTACTTTTTGCCACTTGCTTACCCTTGCGCTTACGCGCTGCAGTGCTCGCGGCATGGGCTATCGCCCTTTGCTGCGCTTTCACGCGACTGTAGGCATTTTTGGCGGTTGTACCGCCCGGCTGGCGTAGATGACATGCCTGGTCCAAACGGTCCAACCTCTGGTGACGTCTGGAGAGTATTGTCGAACCTCTCAGGTAGCTTCTGATGGCAGGGTCCAGTTGCGGAGCTGCGGGGTATTCCCAGCAGCATTTTGCGAAACTGGAGGTATGTTGGAAGGGGCGTCCTTGGGCGGGGGGGACTCCTTCAGCATGCTGGTTGACCTGCTCAGGCTCAGATTGGCGGGCCATTTGTTGCTGTAAGACCAGTAGGTCGAAGATTCTCCTGATGAAGGTAGACACTAAATCAGCCCTTCCTCTAGCGCCAAACTGTTGATGCTCGTTTTTGGCACCAACGAATTGTCAAGTGCGTAACGTTGTTGGCTGTTAAATACACGTGAAATGGAATATATAAAGCGAAATAAATGCAAAGGGTTTTTTAAGTGGTTCGGATGTAAGGTAGCAAGTCCTACGTCCACTGATTTGTATTGATATTAGTATGGGTCAGGTCGCAACTGCGGACTGACTACAAAAGAGTTGGAAAAAGTAAAAATGTGTTTACAGGAGAGAGAGAGTTTTTCCGTATGAAAATGGCCGAATCCCCTAATGAAGGGTCTTCTTCATTATATTCAAACGAAGGCTGTAATCATCATTAAATCCATGGTTTGGTATGATTGTCAGGATATAATCCGGCTTATATCCCATTGCTCTCTTCCCAAGCTGACTTCGCACGATTTATTGCAGGGAAATGGCGCGTGTGAGCTCCATATCATTTGGCAAGCCTGACGTGTGCGTATTACTCTGACGGGAGTAGGTCACCCTTCACGTGACCTCCCACGTCAGTCCTTTAGTTTCCAGGCATAACAGAGAATTCCGGTAGTTCTCATGTTAACTCGGCTAGAACTTTTGTCCTAAGGTAGTGAAGATGGATTTTCCAAAGTATGACAGTGAGGAAGACCCACTAGTGGGTATGTGAGCAAGCAATTTTTCGAATACCACCGAACACCAGAGGTAGAGCGAATTTCGATAGCATCATGGAACTTGGAAGGTGATGCCCAACTGTGGTTCCAGGTTCTAAAAAAAGAGCTAGGAGGTGAACTCATCACTTGGCAACAACTAGTGGATGAGCTCTTCAAAGCATATGGTCCGACCCGTTACCAAGATTTCTTTGGTGAACTGACAAAGTTGAAACAAACAAGCATGGTGAAGGAGTACCAAATCCAATTCTCAAGATTGTTGTTACGTGTAGGAAAGCTTTCCCCAGAACAAGAAGTCGGGTGTTTTGTGAGCGAGTTAAAGGAGAGTTTGAGGATAGACGTACAAGCTTGTAAACCAACTACGTTGTCATCAGCTATTGGCCTAGCTCGATTGTATGAAGCTTGCAACCAAGCTAATAGGGGCAGCCCAAATGAAGCTAGGAAGACTATTAACAATCAGTCAAGTCCGAATAAATCATCGTTACCTATTAAAAAGCTACTTCTAGATGAAATGGATAAACGTATAGTTAAGGGGTTATGCTACAACTGTAATGAGAAATAAGGCCCTAGCCATCGCTGCAAAAAGTTGTTCTCAATTGAAGCATTGGAGCCAAAAGAGGAAGATGAAGAAGAACAAGAAGATGACATCACCGTTACTTGGGTCGATGACATGCCAGAAATTTCCATTCATGAAATATGTGGGTCAAATGCTCATCAAACCATGTGAGTTATAGGAAGTATTGGGCGTCAAGGATACAAGGTGACATTTTTTATTGATTCCAGTAATACTCGTAATTTCTTGAATCAAGCTCTTGCACAAAAATTGGTTTGAAGCCTAATTCAAAAAGCAAATTTGAAGTGGTCGTAGCCAATGGAGAGAAATTGTCCAGTCCAGGTCAATGCAAGCGTGTTTTCATGAGGATGCAAAAAGTAACACTCACGGTGGACTTTTACATACTTCCACTAGAGGGCTGCGATGCAGTACTTGGAGCCCAATGGTTAAGCACTTTGGGACCTATTGTTTGGGATTTCTCTAAGTTGCAGATGATGTTTCAGAGTAGTGACAAAAAATTTCTTCTCCAAGGGCTAAAGTCTCCACTTGACAAGTTAATCGATGGGGAAAAATTTAGGAAGGAGTTGAAAAAAAACAAGGAAAGGGTTTTAATGCATATCCATGCCCTTGATAAGCCAATCAAAAAAACAATGAATAAAAGTTTTGCAAGAAAATCTTAATAAATAAGTGGAGCACCTTTTGCACTCTTATGAAGATGTATTACAAGAGCCACAAGGCCTTCCACCTAAGTGAACGCATGATCATCAAATAATTCTCAAAGAAGGCAGCAGTCTTGTGTCAACAAGACTATACTGGTATCCACATTATCAAAAGTTTGAAATTGAGAAAATTGTGGCAGACTTATTGAAATCAGAGTTATTCAACCTAGTACCAGTCCCTATTCTTCACCGGTGTTATTGGTCAAAAAACATGATGGGTCAAGATGAATGTGTGTTGATTATCGGGCCTTAAACAAGCAAACAATGAAAGACAAGTTTCCAATTCCTATGATCGATGAGCTTCTTAATGAATTACATGGTGAAATTTTTTTCATTAAGCTGGACTTGAGATCGAGGTACCACTAGATTCGCATGCAACCTGAAGACGTATCAAAGACGACATTTCGTACTAATAAAGGGCATTTCGAATTTTTGGTGATGCCATTCAGATTAACAAATGTACCTTCCACTTTCCAGTCATTGATGAATTCGGTCTTCAAAGATTACCTCCGTAAGTTCATTTTGGTTTTTTTTTTTTATGATATTTTAATCTGTAGTAGAAATTTGGAAGATCATTTACAACATCTTAAGATTAGTTTCTCCATATTGAAAACTCACCAATTGTATGTCAAGAAGGAAAAATGTACTTTTGGACAACGGCAAGTGAGATATTTGGGACATATTATTGGCCAAGCAGGAGTATCTATGGATCCAGAAAAAGTTGATGCAATGATCAAATGGCCAAAACCCACAACTGTAAAGGCCCTTCTCGGGTTTTTAGGATTGATGGGATATTATCATAAATTCATTCAAAATTATGGTAAAATTTCAGCCCTGTTAACAAACATGTTGAAGAAGAATGGATTCCAATGGGATACTCGATCAGAAGCTTCATTTGAGCAACTCAAGATTGCCATGAAAAAGGCACCAGTGTTGGCTTTGCCCGAGCTTTCAAAGTCTTTCGTCATTGAGTGCGATGCATTAGGGACAGGAATTGGTGGAGTTTTAATGCAAGAAAAGTGCCCAATTGCTTTTTTCAGTCAAGCCTTGCGAGGTAAAAAATTATTGTTATCTACTCATGAAAAAGAGATGATAGTGTTAGTTCATGCAGTGCAAAAATGGAGGTATTACTTGGGCAACGATTTATAGTCCAGACTGACTAGAAAAGTTTAAAGTACTTATGGGAGCAAAAAATTGCAACTCCAGCCCAACAGCGATGGCTAGTCAAATTGATGGGCTATGATTTTGATATTGAATATAAATCAATAAAAACAAATTTGGTGGCAGATGCAGTACCATGAAGAGAAGAAACGGGGACAAAAATAATTGCCATCTCTAGCCCGATTCCGCAATGGGTAGATTCTATTTGTGAAGAAGTAGAAAACAATTCAATTCTACAGGGCATTATGAGAAATGTGCAACAAGTAGAAGCAGTAGGACCATGGAGCTACAAAGATGGAGTTTTGTTTTTCAAAAACAGATTTTTTTGCTAGCCGGATCTCCTTTAATTCCCATCATTTTGAAGGAGATGCATGCAATTACTCATGAAGGTTATCACAAGACTTATCTAAGAATTAAATCTGTTTTCTTTTAGAAGGGAATGAAGCAAGAAATTCACGCATATGTGAAGCAATGTGATACTTGCCAAAGGCAAAAATGGGAGAACACCAAACCATATGGCCTCCTTCAACCACTCCCTATTCCTACGCAGGTATGGATTGATTTGTCTATGGATTTTATTGACGGCTTACCAATCTCTAAAGGGAAGTCCACAATTTTTGTGGTGGTGGATCGTTTGTTAAAATTTGCTCACTTTATTCCCATATCTCATCCTTACATTTCATCGTAATTGGATTAAATATTTTTTGATAATATTTTCAAATTATATGGTATGCCCAAGTCAATAGTTTGTGACAGAGATCCAGTTTTCACAAGCACATTTTGGGAGGAACTACTCCATCTACAAGGGACAAGTTTTAATTTCTTCTCGTCTTGTCATCTGCAAACTAACGACCAAACCGAAGTGGTGAATCGGACAGTGGAAATGTACTTGCGTTGTTTTACTGGAGACAAGCCAAAGGAATGGGTTCGTTGGATTACTTGGGCGGAGTATTGTTATAACAGGAGTGTCCACAGCTCAACGAAGAAGACTCCATTCGAGATTGTTTATGTACGTCCTCCACCAACTCTATTATCTTATGTGCCTGGTACAACTCAAGTAGAGGCAGTTGACAAGGAATTATGTGCTCATGATCAAGTACTTAAAGAACTGAAGGATCAATTGTTAATTGCCCAAAATCGCATGAAGAGATTTTATGATGTGGGACAAACTGGCAAGAGTTTTAAAGTAGGGGACTTGTGTACTTACGTCTCCAACCATATAAGCAAGTTTCAATTTCACTTAGAAGAAACCTTAAACTATCTCCAAGGTATTATGGACCCTTTAAGATCATTCAAAAGGTGGGACTAATTGCTTACAAACTCAAGATGCCTTCTGAATCAAAGATTCATCCTATTTTCCATGTATCCTGCTTAAAGAAAAAAGTTGGAACTACCGTACAAGTGCAAGAATCGTTGCCAAGAGTCCAAGAGGATGAAGATGTTATTACTGCCTGGCCACAAGCAATACTTGAAGAACGAATTCGGACGCGACGAAGATAGATACTTGTTCATTGGCAAGGGCACTCACCATCAGATGCAACTTGGGAAGGTGTTGAACAATTGAAGACTCGTTTTATGGAATTTCTTCTTGAGGACAAGGATGGATTTTTGGGGGGAGGAATCTTATGGTCTTAAAGTCTTATTTATGAATAGGTCTTGTAAGTGGGTATTTGCTAGATTTTAAACTTGAGACAGCTGAAAGGGTAACCCGATCTGGAGAAGGCCCCGCGTCCTAGTCCAGTCGGTCCGGGTTTTAAAGAGGGAAGAAGATGACACGTGGAGCTTTGTAGGGAGAGATTTGTATACATATCTGGTGTTTCAGGCAGGGCCAAGGATTTGTTTAGGGAAGGAGATGGCATTTTTGCAAATGAAGAGAGTAGTAAGTGTGGTTTTGAAGAGGTTTAAGGCGGTACCGGTGATGGAGGAGGGCGTTGAACCAAAGTTTGTGGCGCAGTTGACAGCGAAGATGAAAGGTGGATTTCCGGTCAAGATTGAGGATAGGACTAAGTGATTATTATAAAATTTGATATTATATTACGAATATGATCAAAGTTGTAATATTGGGTTGATTAATAGTTTTATAGTAGTAAATCGAAATATTATATATGGGTATATCCAACATCTAACTAATGCTTTAAAAAAAAAACACTAATTTTTTTTTTCACTTGTGTACTAAAGTATACATTAAAATGGCTAAAAAAATAATACTATTGTTTTTATGTTTCTTATGGGAGAACGACATCTTACCACCCAATGTTTGGCAAAACGATATTTTCTCACTTGTGTTGATATTTTATTGAAAAGACGAAAATACTCTTAAATATTTGACTTTATAAATTTTTTATTATTTTTTAATTAGTCAAAAAGTCAAATATTAAAAAATAAAAAAATAAAAAATAGGTAACCCCACCTAAAAAGTTAAGAATAATGCTATATATTTATTTAAAGTTAAATGACCTTAATATTTATTTATTTATAATTTCATCAATATCTCAACACTATTATTTAATAATTTACTAAATTTATAATGTTTTTCATAATACGTATAATGTTTTTCATTTTTACTAATTAATATAGAAAATCAATATTCCTAATTAATTAAATAAACAAAGGAAAAAAGATATCTTTACACTTGAACCAATAAATAATTAAGTAAAGACTTTTACTTAACTAAATTTTAATTTATAATAAACTAATTAATAACTAAACTATTTAAAGGTATTTTCGTCTTTTCAGTCAAATATTAACAGAACCTGACGAATGGTGGAAAAGTATCATTTTGAAACTTGATAGGTGGGAAAGTGTCATTTCGCCAAACCTTAGGTGGAAAAATGTCGTTCTTCCGTTTCTTATTTATAAAGATATAAAAAATTATGAGTGGTATTACATATATAAACTAATTAAAGTATATAAATTCTTATACAGAAATTGATTTAGCATAACTCTTTTTATGTCTTATTGCTGATTTATATTAATTCAATATATATGGAGTTGTTTTTGTTACACAAAGTCATTCATTAATCTTGTGCCATATAAGTTATCAATAAGTAGAGTTACAAAGATTTTTATACAAAGTGATATGACATGAAATGAATGGAAGAGTGACAATTTTGTACATAAATCTTTGTTTTATCATTATCTATAAACTTATCCATTCACATATTGTCACATCACTTTGTATATAAGAGTTTGTACAAATAATTTATACATTTAACATTATTGAAAAGAATAATATACACAGTCTGGTATATAGAATGACGTATAGTATGATTGAGAGACTAAAATTATAAAATCAACTCGTTAAATGAAGATAAATGAGTTGTTAATTAAAAGATAAAATCAGAGTCATTTTGTATACAAACTTTCTTTAGAGAATTAGAGTACTACTCTATTTAAATAATATATACATTTTGATATTTCATCAGTAAGCATGGCGTGCCGTACTAGTAATTTCTAAAATTTGGTTATAATACTTTATTTCAATGTTTCTTACTTGTATTGGAAATATTAAACTGTTAATGTGAGATCATGATAAAAGATGTTTTTTTATAAAAAAAAAAATAAGGAAGCACTCATTTGATAACAGTATTGGAGTTTAAACTTTAATGTAAGTATGGATACAAATTTCCAATGCAAATCTTCACACATAAACAAGATCATAACTTGATATAATTGGTTGAGTGGGCGACAATGACTGCTACATCTCTCCTTGTAATGTTTGAAAAGATCTCTTATGAGAAGGAAAATAACATTCTAACCCTTTATCCTTGTTTTATTACTTAATTCATCTTTTATTTGACTATTCTTATCATTATGCTAATAATTTGGATTTCCCAGCTATTTTTGTATTAGTATTTTATTTTTGGTAATATATAAAAGGTATCTGGAATATCAGGTGTCCATTACTCTTCTCTTCAACGACTCTTCTTTCTAACGACAAATCGATTACAATAACTCCATTAGCTCCTAATGAAACATCCATTTTCCATTTCTTTTTCTGATTATTTGTGAAAATAGTTATTGTAGTCCGTATATATATATATATATATATATACATTCAAACGGTGATAAAAGAACTTTAAGGTAGTTACATTTATATACTTATGTTTTTATAAATAAGAAAAGTGGTACTACTCTTATAAAGTCTACATATAAAGTTAAGGTGAAATTTCCCTTTAATTAATGAATTAACTTCATATTTTTACTTTTCAATTGCTAGGCTTTGTATATAAACTCTGTAAGAGTAGTGTTTATTTAAATAAATTATTGTGAAACAAATAATAATAAAAATGCATTAGGACACATACGTCTTTATAATCACTCATTCCTCTCCTCAATCCTGACCGGAAACCCACCTTTCATCTTGGCCGTCAAATGCGCCACAAACTCCGGCTCAACACCCTCCTCTATCACTGGCACCACCTTAAACCTCTTCAAAACCCCACTTACTACTCTCTTCATTTGCAAGAACGCCATCTCCTTCCCTAAACAAATCCTCGGTCCTGCCTGAAACACCGGATATGTATACGAATCCCTCCCCACAAAGCTCCACGTTTCCTCTTCTTCCCTCTTCAACCACCTCTCTGGCTTGAACTCGCTCCAGTCTTTTCCCCACAGCTTCTCCATTCTCCCCATCGCGTACGGATGATACGCCACACGCATGCCCTTCTTCACAACCGTCCCGTCCGGCAATACGTCGTCGTTCTCCGCTACCTTGGAGTCTACAGGAACAGGTGGGTAGAATCTCATGCTCTCGCAGAGTGATGCGTGCGTGTACACCATATCTTTGATGTCTTCATAAACTGGCGTGTTTGATTTTTCTTTGATTTCCTTGAGAATTTCTTTTTCGGCTTCAGGGTGTTTTGAGATGAGCCAGAAGAACCACGTCAAAGCGGCTGAAGTAGTGTCTCGACCGGCGAGTGTGAAGCTGATGACTATATCAGTGACAAAGTCATCGTCGTATTGGCCCGAACTCAAGAATCGTGACAAAAGATCCATAGACTCACCAGGGTCTAGTTTCTTTTCTTTTATGATGTTCTTTGAGAATTCTCGGACTTCAGAAGCTGCAAGTTTTAGACGCTTTTCCGAGCCAATATTGAGAAGCCGTTTAATTTTCCAGATTATAGGTAAAGTCGCTCGAAATCTTTCGCTGCTTATTTTAACACCCTCGTCAAAAGCTTGTGCGAATTTGGTTTCTGGAAATGATGGCAATAGATATTCTGGATCGTACCCAAAAGCGATCTTGCATATATTATCAAATGCAAATCTTTGAAGAACATCTTGAAAATCAAGCACCTTTTTATTGGCAGCCGCGGTTTCAAGAATGGGAATAAGGCGATCGGAGAGCTCAGTTTCAACGACAGTTTCCACAAATTTACGGAGGGATTTTGTATTGAATTCGTGGCTTGAAATTTGTCTTTGAAACTTCCATTGTTCCCCGTCAATATTGAAAATACCATGACCGAGAAGGTCGAATAGAATTTTTTGATTTGCGGCGCCTTTTGGGTAATTGTAGAAGTTAGTTTTGAGGATGTGTTGGACATTAGCGGGATTGGCTGTCAAGATAGTGACCTGGCCTCCTAACCTCTGCAAGGTAAATGTTGCTGAAGGAACATTTTGCAGAATAGAAGTTACCCACTGGAGTAACTGGTTTTGGTTGGCTAGAAAAGAGAAATAAGAGCCCACTATTGGGTAGGACTTTGGAAGAATTACATTAGTGGAAGGATATGAAGATGATGAACCTTTAGGTTTGGAGTTTCTGGTTCTGGTTATGAGAAAGAAGACGAGTGAAGTGAATATTAGAAGGAGAAACGAAGTTAGAAGATGAAGCGACATGAGGGATAAAGATTAAAGTTGTGATATTTTTGAGTTTAATTAGATTTGGATGTGAAGAAAAAAGAGAGAAGTGTTGGGTTTATTAAATAGGGAGAAAGTCATATTGATTATTGGACATTATAAGGTGGGTTCAAACTTGGATATTTTTCAAAAGACCTGTCACGATTCCTTAATTTGCTATTACTGGCAAATTGGCTAAAAGGTGATTGAGAAATTGAAATGTGAAAACAAAAAATCATATTCAAGAAACGGAACCTGGGTTTCCCTTCTTTTCTAGAAAATACATGCAAGAAACGTATGCAAGATCGTCACTGCCCTGCCACGTGTCTTTTTAAATTCTCTATTTCGACAAGTCACCTAAATTGACGAAACTTTAATTGAATTGAATCTTTGGTTGTGGAGAGTGGACAAGGAAAGTTTCAAGGTTGTGTTAGATACAGAATAGTGTATTACCGAATATGTTATAATAATAGAAAGATATTTTTTTTTTTAAGGATTATTAAGAATATTTAGATAAATGTTTTTGGTTAACTAGAATAAATTGATAGGTATGTTATATTAATATGTTTGGTTGAGAGGAATAAATTGGTGGGTATATTATTAAATTATTAATTTTTTTTTAATATTATTTTTATTATTACTTTTTGAATAATTCTGGCTCTCTCTATTTCAGATTTAGCTAAAACACCTTAACAATAAAAAAAGTTTAAAACTTAACAAAAACACCCCATTCACCTTAAGCCACTGCTCGTAACTTGCCACTACCGTCGACGACGGCGACAATGGAGATCTGGCCGTGAAACAAACAAAAAAATCAACTAAAAAAATCAAAGAATATTTTTAAAAAATAAATATAAAAAAAATATTTTCAAAATATATAAATTAAATAAGTTATATTAGTTAATTTTATAATTGGTTACAATTAAAATAAAAATCTGAAGAGTTTCTTAATGCAGCAGAGGTTCTGTGGGTCTTAATCGAGGCTACCTTTCTTCTCGGCTTCTCCATCCAAATGTGGACATTTCTCTCCTCTTCCGCCAAGCCCCATTTTTTATTTCAAACCCTAGGACCCTGACCCTAACCTCCACTTGCACTGCTACTCGCCTCTCTATCTTTCTCCACCTAAAGAACAAACCTTTCAAAGCCTCCCTTCAAACATTCAAAATCCCAACTCAC